GTTAATTGGTTTCCCTTTTCTTTGTTGAAGAGGGTCTGTGCAGTCCTTCTGCCTAGTCCGCCATCTTGCCGGAACTCCTCGTTTTTCTTTAAGGCTGAATAATATTCCATTGTATGTATATACCACGTTTTGCTTAGCCATTTATCTGTTGATAGACACTTGGGTTGTTTCTACCTTTTGGTGATTATGAATATTACTTCAATGAACAATGGTTTAACTCTATCTGTTTGACTCTGTTTTAAGTCTTTTGAGCAGCATATACTTAGAACTGCTGAGTCTTAGGGTAATTTAATGTTTAACTTCTTGAGGAATCACCAAACTGTTTTCCACAGTGGCTGTACCATTTTGCATTCCCACCAGCAGCAGTATGCAAGAGTTGCAGTTTCTCCACATTCTTGCCGACACTTGTTATTTTCCTGATGGGAGCCATTCTGGTGGGTGTGAGATGGTATCTCATGGTGGTTTTGATTTGCATTTTCCTAATGACTGATGATGTTGAGCATCTTTGTGTGTGTCTAGTCAGCCTAGTCACCCTGTAGCTTCCTTTTGGTTTCTGTGTGGGGGGTAATATGCTCTTCTGTCCTTTACTTTCAACCTGTTTGTCCCTTTCAGCTAAAATGTGTCTTCTACACACAGCATATAGTTTGATCATGTTTTTTTTTTTCCCTCATCCTCCCTTCCCATTTCTGCCTTTTAATTGGTGTTTTTAATCTATTCATCTGAATGTTGTTACTGGTAAGAGAGGATTTTTGTCTGCCATTTGGCTGTTATTTTTTTCTGTGATGTCTTTGTTTTGCTTTTCCTCCATTACTGCTTGCTTTTGTGTTAAATAAATTTCATAGTGTGTCATTTCGGTCCCCTTTTCTTTTACTGTATTTTTTGGGTTATTTCTTAGTGGTTGCCTTTGAGATTACAATAACAATTTATAACAGCATAGTTAGGATTAATAACAACTAAACTTCAGTAATGCATAAAAATTTGTTCCTATATAGCAGCATTCACTCCTCCCTGTTTTGTGTTATTATTGTCATGTAACTTACATTTTTATACACTGCCCCTCAATAGAGATTTATAATCATTGCTTTATGCAGTTGTCTTTTAAATCAGATAGAAGAGATATGAACAAGAAATACATTTATACTATCTTTTGTATTTCCCTCTGTAATTGCCTTTACCAGTACCTTTCATTTCTTCATGTGAATTTGATTAACTCTTTGGTGTCCTTTCATTTCAGCTGAAGTACTACTCCCTGTAATATTTTTTATAGAGTAGGTTTGCTAGCAATGACTTATCTTAGTTTTTGTTTATCTGGGAAAGTCTGAATTTCACCTTCATTTTTGAAGGTTCGTTTTGCTGGATATAGAGTTTTTGGTCGACAGTGATTTTCTTTCAGCACTTTGAAAATATCATCCAGTGCTTTCTGGCCTCCATGGTTTGGGATGAGAAATAAGCTGTTAATCTTGTTGAGAATCCCTTGTGTATGATGTCACTTTTTTTTTTTTTTTGCCTTGTTCAGGATTCTGGCTTTGGCTTTGGCTTTTACACAAAGCCAGTCAATCACAGTTTGGGTATAATAATGAATCTAGTCTTTATCTCTGAATTTATCTTGCTTGGAGTTCCTAGAGATTGTTGGATGTGTAGATGAATGTTTTTCATCCAGTTTGAGAAGGTTCCAGCCATTATTTATTCAAGTACTATCTCTGGCCCTTTCTCTCTTTTTTTCTGGGTTGTCCATCATGTGTGTATCGGTGTACTTGGTGGTATCTGAGGGTCTGCTCATTTGTAGTCCTTTTTTCTGTCCCTTTTATTGAATCACTTCATGACCTATTTTCAAGTTTGCTTTCTCCTTCTACTGTTCAGATCTGCTCCTGAGCTCCTCTATTGAAATGTTTATTTCAGTTATTGTGCTTTTCAATAACTTGATTGCTTTTTTCCCCCGTGCATGGGCCATACTTTCTTGTTTATTTGCATGTCTTACAATTTTTCATTGAAAACTGGAGATTTAACATAATACAATGTGGCAAATCTGTAAATAAGTTCTTCTTGCTCCCCAGGGTTTGTTGTTATTGTTGTTTGTTTCCTCAGTGACTTTTCTGAAGGAATTCTGTTCTCTATTGTGTATGACCACTGAAGTCTGGTTTGTTAGCTTAATGGTCAGCTAATGATTGGACAGAGATTTCCTTAAAGCACCAGTGCTAAGTAGTCTCAGTCTTTGCTGAGGGACCCTGTAGATATGTTGGAATATGCCTTCAGCACTTACCAGGAAGTTAACAGCTCTGCTTTAGCCTTCACTTCCTATTTACACAGTCTCAAAGTCAGCTTAAAGTGAGAGCTTAGAGCCTTCTCAAGCCTTTTGTGAGCATGCACACAGCCCTGGGTGTGGGCACGGCCCCGGGCACACACATGGCTCTGGGACATGTGCACGGCCCCAGAACACACACAGCCTTGGCACACACTTGGCCCTGGGCACACACACAGCCCTGGGTATGAATGTGGCCTTCTAGATTTTCAGGAATGTGTCCAAGCTTTTCAAAACTCCTTTGGACATCTCATTCTCCAAACTTTCCTTGTAAGCTTTTGGATTAGTTACCTTGTCACCCATCACATCATGTAAACGGAAAAAGGCTTTTCATACTAAGTCAAAGTCAGGTGAGAAAACTCAGGAAAACCCTATCCTAGAGCCTGGCTAAACCAGATGAACTTACATACAGTGGTGTGTGTTGCAGGGGAGATGGGCACTGAACGCCTAACAAACCTGTGACCATGAAGTCGATTTGATTCTCACAGCACCTCTGGAGGACAGAGTAGAACTGCCCCATTTTCCAAGGTTGTAAATCTCTATGGAAGCCGACTGCCTCACCTTTCTCCTGTGGAGCAGCTGGTAGGTTTCAAACACCAGGCTTTTGGTTAGTAATTGAGGTCTTCAGTCAGGGCACTACCAGAGCGCCTTCACACAGGCATAAAAGGGCTGCCTCCAGAAGGGTGAGGTCAAAAGTGGAGGCCAAGTTCTTCTACCCAAGTGCTCCCTTTCTTAGGTAGCCTGGCTTCTCAAATGTCATAGTCCCATGCCTGGAGGATGTCCATCAGTCATGACAGTATCCCAGGCCCTGTATATCCATTTGGAGGCCATAGGAGACAGTCTGGCCCAGCAGAAAGACTGGATGCCAAGGCTTTAGGCCTCAGGGCAGAGCCAGGTCAAGAATTTAGGCCCCGCTGAAAAGAGGGGTAATCCCAGGAGACTCAATACAGGAGAGGATCGAATGGGGGTGTAGGATTGAGGCGTTCTTTTCTTAAGCAAGAGGACTTCCCAGACATCTCATCAGCAAGGCTTCCTGGTTTATGCAAGAGGAGGAACGGGCTTCTCCACAACAGGCTTGGGTTAAAAGATTGAGGGGATTGTCTCAGTGACTTTCCAGGAAACAAAGCAAAGGAACAGGAAGGTCCCCCGAAAACAGCCAAGTAAATACCATCCTCTGTGTGCAGAGAAGGCGAAGAGGCAGCTGAAAGCAGAGCCGGATGCTGACCCCATTAGGTGGGGGCGCCACACGTGGGGGACACTGAGGACCAGAACATCAGGCCCGGGCAGAGCCCTCAGATGACCTGTTTCCTGCCCAGATCCAAGGATAGTGACAGGTGCCCAGTGACACAAGCCCTGAGGACCAGAGTTGTCTCAGCAGGGACAGGCGGGTCATACAGGCCAGACATCCCCAGAAACTCTCAGATTCAAGAATCGGCAACTGTGATCAGGGCCTCCTAGGGAGCCTGTGTCCCCAGCCAGTTCTGCCAGCACGGGCCAAGAATGCCAGGGACCTCGGGTCACCTCTCCACTGGCCCAGGCCCTGTCCTCGTTGATGTGTCTCTTCTACTCAGCCAGGAGGCCCTTTCCGTCCTCTCTCAGAGGGAAATAACGGTCCATGTGGGGCAAATCTGCCAGTCCTCGAGCACGCACTTCCTTGGAAGATGGTCTTCGTTTCTCAGAAGCAAGGCTATTTCTTCTTTCCAAATACATTGTTCTTCTCATGACCAGATGCAGTCTTCCGTCTGTGTTGGATTAGGGTATAAATTTGGGGAATTCCAGGAGTCTGAGCTTAGAGAAGGGAAGGAGTTGGCTTCAGCTCTGAGGGCCTGCTGGGCTTGTCACAGGTGACCTGGGGCCTGGAGGGAGGTTGACAATGGTACTGCCTCCCCACCCCCAGGGTCATTGCTCCTCCTCAGATGTCCTATTTTTAAAATACTTTATTTCCAATAATACTGTCATTACAAAAATACAAAAAACTACTAAAAACATTCAAGGGCTTGTCAGAGTGAGAAAATTCCAAGACCCCATCCCAGGACGTGGCTGGACCAGTGCTCCTGCCAGCTCCTTCGCTGTTCGACTCTTACACTACTGGGGACGGGGTGGGGTGACACAGGCATCAAAGGGCTGGAAATTCCCCACACAGCCTCTAAGATGGGTACGAATTAGCTTCACATCACAGAGTGGGACCTGGGAGTTTGAGGGTGGCTAGGCCCTGAGTTCAGAGGTGTGGGGTGAACCTGTGACCCTGAATCTCTTGATGGAGAATAGCTGCCACCTGCCCTCAAAGCCCTTTCCCTTCCCAGTGAAGGCTGGGGCTTGAACCCAGCTGCCCGTCACTTAGCCTGCAGACCCCAGGCGTCCCATTCGCCTCCCCCGCCCGTGCTCACAGCAGAGCAGCAGGGAGGGCCCGCTGCTCCGCGGTGGGCAGGGCAGCTGCTGGGAGGCTGCTGCGGGCCTGGTTCACTCCCTGCCCCAAAGGGAAAGTGTCTCGTGCTCCACGGCCCTGCTTGCGGGGCACTGTCTCACGACCCTGTCCGTTCTCCACCCCAGAGTGGGGAGATCGCTCCTGGGGAGCGATTCATGGGTGTGGTAGCCTGGGCTCTGAGTTGGACACTGTGGTCCTGGGGGAGGAGGTGGTAAAACAGTGTCCTTTCTAGTCTGTTCTCCCCCCACAGGAAGAGGCCAGAGAGGAGGGGAGGCGGGTGTTAGCGAGGCTGGGAGAGGGAGGACATGCTATTTACAGGCGTGGACAAGGACTCTGTCTGCAGGTAGCACCCAGGCCACTCTCCAGCCACTGACTGGAGTGGGAACTGGATTCAAAGCTAGTGACATGAAAAGTGACCTTTGGCCTGGGCCAGCTCCCCCCACTTCCCCCCGCTCCCCATGGCAGCCCAGCTCTAAGGGGTCAGGGACAGGAACAGTCTCCTGAAAACCAGTGGGCTGTTTTTGCGTTTAGAAAAAGTTGCCAGTGTCCCATGGACACTGAGCCCTGGGTGCACACTGAGTGGGGTGGCGGGGGTATTGCTGTGGCAGAGTCTGGGCTGGCCGGGCAGAACCTAGGAGCAGGGCAGGTGCTGCTTAAGGATCTGTCTCGTCTGTGGTGTTAATCTGTCTGGAAAGCGGACTTTGAACTCAACAATGAGGTCTCCCCGCTGGGTGGGCACCTTAGGGAAGGGAAGCCCCTCCCCACGGAGTCTCTTCACGGTGCCTGGCTTGATGACATCATTGCAGGGCAAAGGGATCACTCGGCCATCGATGGTGGGAATGTTCACGGTGCAGCCACATAGTGCCTAGGGGGAAATGAGGCAGAGTAAGGAAAAGGCGGAAGTGGAGTGGGAGGAGGAAAAGACTGAAGTGGGAAAGAAGACCCCACGGGGGCGGGGCATCCCCATCACCTCCCCCAGCGCGCACGCACACCCACACACATGCACGCGTGCACACAGGCGTGCACATGCACACACGCGTGCCCTGCCACTGCCCACCTCCTTGAGGCTGATGAGGGCACTGTAGAGCACGTTGGTGCCGTCTCGGCGGAAGTGCGCATGGGGCTTGTCTTTGAGCACAAACACGATGTCAGCAGGGATGTTGTCAGGCGTGGCGTCACCCTCTTTGGGGAAGGTGATCTTGGTCCCTTCCTTCCAGCCACGCTTGATGACTATATGCAGGATCTTGTCCTCGGTGCGCACAGTCCGCCCGTCGGGGTTCAGGCGCCGCCTGGTAATCTTCATGCGCTTGGTGGAGCCATGGTAGATCTCTTCCAGGGACACCCGCAGTTCGTGCACCACGGGTGGGTCCTGTACCTTGCGCCGAGGGTACAGTGGCTCCGGGGCTCGCCTTGGACCCCTGCTCAGCCCGTTGAAGCCAAAGCGGCCGAAAGCACCAAATGGGTCCTCGTCTTCGTCCACATCCATGTCATCCGGGTCAAAGCCACCGAAGGGCCGGGTGGAGCGGCTGCTGGCAAAGAAGATGTCGAAGGGGTTGGAGCCGCCGAAGAAGGAGGCAAAGGTGGCGTGGGGGTCCCCATGGAAGGTGTAGTGGAAAGAGCCGCTGGAGCCGCCTGAGGAGCCGCCGCCTGTCTTCAGGCCTGGAGGGGACGAGAAGTTAGGGGAGGTGTGGCTCACCTGGCCCCACCCCTGTCCCTTCCCCCGCCCTCTGGCTCCCAGTCCAGAATCGAGAGAAGCAACTTTTCTGTCCCGAGAGGTCAGGCGGAGAGAGGAGGCAACACCTCTGGCAAGATGAATTCCCACTCTGAACTAAATGTTTAATAATAACACACATGTTGATGTTCAGAGAGACTTAGTTACCAAACAGGCAGAAGAGCCAGGACTGGAGACCTTACAGGATAGCATTTCCAGTCCTGTAAACTTTTCCGAGCACACACGGCCCAGACTTATCAGTGCTGAGGGGCTGGCCTGGGACCCTATTACAAGTCCTCCCTGGCTTCCAACCTTTGCATATCTCTAGAGAAACACAGGGCGAGAGACAGTCACACAGGATTTGGACACGGGGGGCTAGTACTTGGCCTGTCCCAAAGGAGGTAGGGTCTCAGGCCAAAGGGAAGCCTGTTCTTACTCTGTCCCAGCAGTGTTTCCTTTTCCCCTGCCTTCTGCCCAAGTGGGAAGTCAGTGGGGCCTTGGACAGCAGGACTCCTGTTAGCTGAAAGGAGATGAGGTGCCCTTTCTCTAGAAGGGCTGTCAGATGCTTTGTTCCCACATTCAGGCTCATGAAGATGCCCAGTTTGGGAGCACCGGCCACACACTGCACAGAAGCAGAAAACCGGGGGAACGAGGCTCTCCAGCGGTATGTCAGGACCTCTCTGCTCCACGCCTAACATCAGAGCAGCCAACACGCACACAGATGGGCTGACCGTTGAGGGCGATGACCCCAGGGCCCAGTTGTTCTCTCAGGTCCACTATAAAGGGCTCAGGTTCCTGGAGGCAGCCTCCCTGGGAGTGTAGGAGGGTCGGTGACACCAGTGCGGGGGAGTGTAGGGACATTAACACTGAAAACTGACCCAGAATCTGCTGGTTTAGGGCAGCTCGCAGGCTAAGGGCAGGGGCTCTTCTTTTTGAGGTCTTTCATCTCCAGCTTCAGTAACTAACTAACCTCTTATTTCCAAGGACCACAAGGACAGATTTGAGTTTTATTAGAGAGGCCAAGTGGCCAGCAGTTTAGGGACTTGTGGCAGCTGCCCCCTCACCCTTCCCCCAAGACCCAGAGTCTACTCCTCCCATGGGGGTCCTGGCAGGGGGCTGATAATTGCGCAAGTTCAAGACGTGTGGCAGAGTGCAGTGAAGAGGGGGGCTTGACTGGCAGTGACAGGAGGGGTCATTTCTCTCTGCAGGATTCCTGTGTTACCATGGCTACCCCCTTGTCAAGCTGGGAACAACTTGTCCTCAGCCAGGGCTGCTCACAGAGTCTGCGGAATGGATGTGACTGGCTGTAGGGGAAGGGGCAGGATGGACAGAAATCCATCTCCAAGGCTGCTGCTCCCTCCCCAGGCCCTGGGGTCTCCTCTAAGGCTGTGCTGCACCCTCAGGGCCTCCTGGAATGGGGTCTACATCAGAGGCAGCCTCTGCCTCCACTTAGGCTGGGTCCTGCCCGAGGGGTGAAACTGCCCACCCCTCAGCTTCTTCCTAAACA